CCCCATTTTCAATCTCCTCATTAACCCTTTCTATGAACAAATTGATAGCACTAGTGGTAGACTTCCCACTCCTGAAGCCAAACTGCTTAGAACTAAATAAATTCTGACTCTCAAAATAATTTGTTATTCTATTTTTGAGTGCCTTTTCGAAAATCTTGGAGAAAACTGGGACAATTGATATAGGACGGTAATTACTCAAATCTTCCATTTCACCTTTTTTATATATTGGCACAACCCTGGAGATTTTTAGAACTGATGGAAAGACTGCATCTCTTATACACAAATTTAACAGCTTCGTAAGAGGATAGATAATAATATTAACAAGTGATTTTATTATTTTAGAGTTCATTCCATAAATATCCTTGCTTTTTTTGTTTTTTAATTGTTTTACTATGTCTCTAACTTCATTAATTGATATGGGAGTGAAATTGAAAACTGTGTCGGATATACCAATTTTTTTGATAAAATTGTTTACATAATATTGTGGAGTATTTATAGCTGTAGGTAAGTTACTAACAATTTGGGCTGCTATATTAGCAAAATAAAGATTATAGTCATTTGGAGAGAAATTGTTGCTATTTTGAATGCATTTTTGTTTTGTGATATTAGAGTTTTCTCTCACCAACTCCCATATCGTTTTCGAATTGAAATTATGCTTTTGTAGATAGGAAAAATGACCCTTTTTTTTGGCTTCTCGTATGGAAATTTGGTAATTTCTTTTTAGATACTGTTTTAATTGTACCATAATAGGACAATTCCTCTGTTTGGCTGCTTCTGAAACAATTTGCAATAGTTCTCTCTGTTCGCGCAGACTATCATTATACCATTTAATGTATTTTTTATTATGAGTGATTTCAATTTCTGGAAAAGCTAATTCAATATTATTTTTGAGAAGGTTGACAAAAAGAGAGAATTTGTCATCAGTTGACATTAATCCCGAGTTTACAAAATCCCAATCCATGGAATCAACTAACCCATACAGATTGAAAATGCCCTGCTCTGTGATTGGTCGGCTTTTATGAACCTGTTCTGTATCTTTTAATGAATGCTTTAAAGTTATTTCTGCACAAAGAGCGAGGTGGTCTGATATGTTCAAATCCCTTGTATATGCCCTAGAGACTATAAAATTAACAAAAACATTGTCTATGCATGAACCTCCGCGCGTTGGTGTAGAGATAACCTTACAAAACCCAAATGTATTTATTAGATCCAAAAGAGAAACTGCTTTACTATCATGCAACAGAAAGTTAACATTGAAGTCTCCATTTATTAGAATATCATATCTTGTTGATCTTATTTTTTGCACAATTTGTTCGAAAATATTTAAAAAAATTTCAAAATTTCCAGATGGAGGTCTGTAGTATGTTATTACAATAAGTTTTAGTTTATTTGATTGGACTGCACATACCTCACAATGCATTTCCTGCGATAGACTATTTATGTCATCTCTGCCTTTGATCGATACTCTTGTATGCTGCCCCAATATGGGGCAACATAATGAACATAGGGAAATACCGCAACATCTTCTCAAGGATTCAGAGGCAAGCGGCGCTGCGCATCTGCAGTGCTTACAGAACCGCATTTAAGGACGCCATCCTCGTTATCGCGGAAACTCCACCAATGGACCTCGTGTCAACGCAGGCCACGAACGTAGCTAGGGCAACAGAACCTCAAAGGGAAGCAGTACGACTCGAGACCAAGGAAATACTCATGAGCGAATGGCAAGAAAGATGGGAACAGAGCACGAATGGCAGGTGGACGTTCAGACTAATTCCCAACATATCGATATGGACCAAAAGAAAACATGGGGAAACAGACTACTTTCTAACCCAACTACTAACAGGACACGGCTGCTTTCGGGAGTACACCAAAATATCGAAAAAACCGAGGACGATGAGTGCACATACTGCGGAGAAACCGACTCAGCAGAACACACATTCTTCCACTGCCCGCAATGGCATGCACACCGAGCAGCCTGCACAGACAATACTGGACCTCTCACACCAGAAAACATCATAAACATTATGACAAAAAACTCTCAGAATTGGAACGCAGTAAAAGACATGGTAAAAAAGATCCTTAAAGAAAAAATAGAAGACGAAAACAAACAAATACCGGAATATTAACCAACCCTCCACCATTTGAAGTAATACCCCAGCAATTCCAAATGGTTGGATGAGTTCCAGAGGGAAAAGGGTTTTAGTCGGTCGGCAACCCTCGGAAAAGGGCGCTAACCCGACACATCCCCCGCCGCCAGAACACCAGGCAGGGACAGTCTGACAAAACAGATTTCCTAAACCCCTCTATAATATATAAAAAAAAGGGTTATTTTGGGTTAGTTTGAGTTAGCTCTGTGCTGATGTGATACTAGTTTGTTTCGGGTTGTCGTTTTTGAAGTACTAAATTAGCACTAAATATGTGCATGCGAATTCCGTTCTCGTGCGGTCGATTCGATCTATGTGTGCTGATTGAAGTCTTAAGTTAGCACTTTTCCGTGGTTATTTTGTAATAAATACATCATTTTTAGTTTTTTAGGCGTGACATGAATGTACTAAATTAGCACTAAATATGAGGTACTAGATTTTCAAAGATTCGACCTTATCCAACTATAGTGTGCCAGCTTAATCTTAAGCTGGCACACATGCACGTAATTTTTTAAAAAATAGAGTTATAAATTATTTTTGTTCGTACTAAACTAGCACTAAATAGGCCCGAATTTAGTACTCTAGTTTTTCTGATGTGTGCCATTTTCGTTGTGCTAATTTTTGAAACCTAATTTAATCTCGGGTTAAATTCAAAAATGGTGTCCAATGATAGTTTATGAAAATCTAAGACAAGAATGTAAGATCGGTTTTACTCTAAAATTAACCGTTTAGGTTTTGCAGCCTGTCAAAGTTGCAAAAAAGTCAATTTTCAACTGTCAATATTTCCAAAACAGTTGAACTTGTGGATTAACATTTTGTACCAAAATATATGGAATTAAAAACCCTCCAAAATGATGTATCACTTGACCCCCCTTCCCATTTGAAATTTTCTAAGGGGTGGCTCTGGGGGCTGGGGGGTTGAAAGAGGGAAGGTGAATTTTGCATAAAAACTCATCCCCCTTCAAATTATGGTTGACGTATTTCAGGGATTTTTTCGAAAATGTTTCTACTCCGAGATAATAGGGGTGGGAAGTTTTCAAATTGACACCCTGTATATTGGAGCATTTGATAATGTTAATTAAATACAAAGGAACTGTGGACATTTTACGTAAGAAAAATCTCATCAACAGATAATTTGAGTGAGTAATTGAGTGTCATCCGAAATTTATACCACAACAACTAAACTGCATCTTTAAAACAAAAGTAACTTTCTAGTAGAATTATTGTTAACTGCAAATATATAAGAGCTGGTTCTGCAGTTCTGTGAGGTCTATTGTGGATTAGGATACACATACTCTTTATACTCCCAGCAACAGGCACCCCGTTTTAGCAGATTGAGCACATTAAGTTTTCTATCTTCTCCCTGGATAATGTGAGATATTATGATCAACCTAATATTAATGCATGTATTTGCTAAAGTAGGTATATGAGTCCATATCCAAGATAACTGAAACATAGTCGTATCAACTATCGATGGAAACATTAGCATTAAAACAGACTATTAATAGTCAGGGTTGGCAGGTATAGGTTTTTTGAAACCTAGGTTTTTTAGGTTTTTCCAAAAAACCTATTTCCTAAAATATGGGCATTTTAGGTTTTTTAGTTTTTTTTAAAAAAAAAACACTTAAGTACCACCACACTATTCACCTAATATTGTTAACTAGTTCTTTCCAGAATTCTATATCTATGTTTTATTATTGGTTTAGCTATCATTATCATTATTTGAATAAATTTAATGTACCTACATCATCAATCATGTGTTACAACTGTTAGGTATTAAAAAAAACCTTTAAAACCTCACAAAACCTTAACAAACCTTAAAAAACCTAAAACAGCCCAAAAATCTCAAAAAACCTAAAAACCTAAGTTTTTTTTTTCCTAAATCGTAGGTTTTTTCCAACCCTGTTAATAGTTGAAGCTGTTTCTTTCAAACAATAATTTCTTTTCTTTTGCATGTATTGAACCATATTTCTTTCAGTTTTGTTTTCTCAAGATCAAAGAAAATTACAGTTCTGATATAACGTGATTGACGATTGTGAAAAATGGAATTGGACACATGCTGATGCATGCATGCATAGGTACCTCCATAGGTACCCTTTGGAGTATCTTTTTTTCCCAGAACTCCTCAAAAGTGGAGCCAATGTGATTAATGTGAATCCTAAATAATAAAAACATAGCTCGTGGCACATTTCAAGTGATAACTAACTAAAGCCAGCAAGTCATAAATTAGACATTCTTACATCATGCATGAATTTTTAAATGAAATTTCAATCAGCAAAGCACAAATAAACTAATTAAAAATTAACAAATATAGGAAATAAGCAGTTTTATTTAAACTGAAGACCAGTTATGAGGAGAGGAATTTTCCTCTACAAGCATCAATCAGTTGGGCATACATAAAACCTTCCAAAATGTTAATTTAACATGAAATATTCTAGTAAACTACTTACCTCGTGGTTTTAAGGAAACATAATACACGTATTTATCGCATAATAAACTGATTTTTAAAGGCAATACAGTAAATTCTAATTGGCACCAACTAAAAAGACGTTAGGAGGTCAATACACACCCTGAAACTTGGCGCCTTTTTTGTGAAACACGATCGAAGTTGGGTAAATCTCTGCCTTCATTTATGTTAAATACAGTTTATACGTTATAAATAATGATATTTTGTTGTTATTTGAACGTTCTAGGCAATAATACGGCCAACAAAAAACTTTTGGAGGCAAAAAATGGGATTAAAAATGGAGTAGGCTGTCTGCTTCTCCACGAAAAACCGCCAATTTTCTGAATGGAATGGGCCTTGGGGAATTATTTTTACCGTAGAATAGATATTTGAGGGTCATTTGGACTTACCGATGATAAAAAATATTCACTTTTTCTTATAGTTTTTCGGTAAGAGGCTGCTGAAGCCCTCTCACATGTAAAAGTCGTTATAAAATAATGATGACCGACTGACAGAGACAGAACAACCGTTTTCCCGTTTGATTTTGTTGTCTGTTTTGAACGCTTTCTATTGGTCCATTTGTATCATTGGATTGAAAATAGCAGTGGGGGGGTTGAGATTTGTCGCCCTCTCTGGCTCAGGACGATAACTGAAATATCTGAAAACTAAATGTTTTTCTTATCTCATTCTGTACGAACATGTTAGAAAAAGAGGAAGATTGTACTGACTTATCCAACTCAAATTTAAATGTTTTTCAAAAAGGTTCATGATGGTATTTTCAAAATGTTTTTCACTATGCCATTTTTGTTTAGGTATTTTTCTGTTACTTCTCAACTTCGAATGCCTGTAATTAAAGAAACTTTAGTGTCCTCTATTGACGATCATGCAAAACTTAAAATAAAAACAAAAAACCACCTGACCGAACATATGGGTTTCTTGTCAGAATGACAGATCAAAGATCAACAAAACAAACCTAACCAAACTTTTTATATTTTTTAAAAATATTTTCTTTCTTATTATTTAGTTTTATGTAAGCGTGTATTTTCAATAATCAAAATGTTTGAGAGTGTTTTACGTGTTAAGTATGTAAGCTTTAAAAACTGCTTCGTCTATTTGTCTACTAGCCACAAGCATTTAAACACCGGGGTAAGTATTATCAGAGATTTTTTATTAAGGGGTTTAAACTACTGTGGGTTTGTGTGAAGTTGCCCAGTTCTCTTTCAATCGAGCTTTCAATGTATACTTTATTTTTTTACGACAGTGCTTATATTATCTACATAGTTCAGTTCTCAGTTCAGAGCTGGGCAGGGCTTGAGTGCTTTGTGCTTACGAAAGTGCCTCGGAAAGTGCTTAAAGCACTTTGAGGACTTGAAAGCCCTGTGCTTCAAGCCCTTTTATAGATTTGTAATTGGGGCTTGCAAAGTCAATTACTTTAGAAAAGTGCTTGGTAATTTGTAATTGAAAAAAGTAATTCAAGCCCTTTCAATGAGCTTCAATTACTTTTAGAGGGCTTGAAGCACTTTTGGGAGCTTGAAGCCCTTTGAAAGGGCTTGAAGCACTTTAAGAGGGCTTGAAGCACTTTAAGAGGGCTTGAAGCACTTTTGGGAGCTTGGAGCACTTTGAAAGGGCTTGAAGCACTTTGAAAGGGCTTGAAGCACTTTAAAAGGGCTTGAAGCACTTTGGAAGGAATTTGAATTGACCATCATTCAACCTATCCCCCACTTAAAAATTTTCGATCGTGTTTTGTCTCTTAATTTTTTTTTTCTATCAAGTATTTGAACTTGAACCCTCTTATGTCTTTTCTCTCTTAACAATGGAGGTTTTGGGTTTGAGCTTAGAATGGAATTAAAAAAAAAAAAATGAATGAACTTATTATTCAAATAAATAATTAATTTATATTGGTACCCCGAGTGGTACCCTATTTAACTTTATCACTGGATTTTTTTCACTTTTCCCCATCGGACATTTTGAAAACCTTAAAATTGAATTACCATGTAGTACCCCAACTATCCCAAGTACCCCAGAACTAGGTACATCTCAAAAAAAAAACATATTACTGCTACTCTGTGAAATGTAAAGTTCGTCTCTACTATACCAATTCTGTGTGATGAGTGTACGCGGTAGCTCATGCCACCTTGAGAATTTTATTACAAATTCAAAGTGCTTTAGGCACATTTAAAGAGCTTCAAGCACATTTAAAGAGCTTGAAGCACAATTAAAGAGCTTGAAGCCCTTTTCAAGGCACCCCAAGCACTTTTGATGTGCTTCAAGCACTTTTTAAATCACTTTGAGGGCTTTGTGCTTGTCAAGCCCAAAGCACTTTGAGGGCTTTGTGCTTGTAAAGCACTTTTGGAAATAAAAAGGAATTTGTGCTTGAAATTGAAGCACTTTGATAGAGGGCTTAGGGCTTAGTGCTTCAAGCCCTTTTACTGAGGGCTTTGCCCAGCTCTGTCTCAGTTTATTGAAGCCTTTTTTTGTAGTTATTCTCTATCACAATTTGATAGATTGAATTTAATTGATAGACTACTAAAACCTGGATGATTGGATATTCAAAGCAACTTTGCTAATGCTGCCTATCAATGGCCTCATTGTATTTGAACATTCAAACATTTTTCGGAAGTTGCCAAGTTGAAGAAGATCAAGACAAACACAATTTGTTCATAAACTACAAGAACCCCTCATGTGTAGGTAGGGCTGCCATTTATGAAATTTGTTACCTAGGACAATTTTTACAAAAACCCCGGATTCTAACCCCTCAAACCCGGACACCACTAAAGGGTAGCCCACCTTAGGCGCCGCTGGAGGCAGAAGATTTTTTTGGGTGCCACGCCCAAAAAAGTTTATTTCAAGCCTTCGAGAACCACTCATTATTTTGACAAAAAAATCATTTTTTTGGGTTTTTTTATAGCTTTCACCGAGCTCCAAACATGATTAACGACACGTGAACGTGAAACTTGAGTCGCGCACACGCGGGCTAAATAAAACTGATGATGTCGATTGACGATTTCCATGATTCTTGTCAATTTCGTGGAGTTATTCGTGATTTTTTTCAAGATGCCGTAAAGCGTAAAACACGGTTAACTTCAAAAAATCCCCCCGGACGTCCCCGGACGCCTTTAAAACTAGGACAAATCCGGGGAAATCCGGACGGATAGCAGCCCTACTCATGTGGAAAGTCTAGATATATTGTGATATTTTTCCTGCCAAAATTTATTTCTGTTGCCATTTACAGTGGGTACATACCTAGGTACATACAATAATTCTTAGTCTAGTAAGCCAATAAACAGAACATCAAGTAAAACAAAACCCTTGACAAAACGTTAAGTATTGAACAAACACAACTTGCTATTTGTAGAGTAGGTAGGTAATTTTCAATAAAAAAAAACCTAATACCTTAACACTCAAAATAAGCACAACAATCGGCACAACCTCGGACAATGGGCATACCCTGTGATGATTTTTACAAGATTTAAAAAAATAATCATCTAAAGAGTTTTAATTTGACTTCTAAAACTTTCCCAATATTGAAAAGACCTACATTTGTTTATCACATAGATAGAGAGCTGGCCGCCTCGGAGGCATTATGATAATACCTCTGGAATTTTGTGAAGTGGTTGGAGGGACCATCAGGAAGTGTCATCTGCAAGGATTTTGTTCAAAACCCCTGCAAAGGGCACTTTAGTCAAACCATACTAAAAATGGAAAAAACATTGCTCAAATGATCCTACCTTCACCTCAAAATTTGCATATTCTGTTAATGGTCACAGATGTATGTAATGTTAAAAGAGTGCCACCGAAGTGTAACACCAGGTTGTTCTTATGGACAATTTGGGTAAAAACTTTTATGACTTTCTATTAAAAGAACCTCGAAAAGAACTTTCAGTTTTTGAAATTCAAGTTAGGTATGTCTAAATCGAGATCTAAACCATTTTCCAAATTCAAGGGCTTAGTAATACTCTTGTGATTGTTATGTATCTGACTTAACTGCTGACGATTCCTTGGTTAATCTAAAGATAATGACTGTTGTTGAACGCCTGAAAAGATTTTCCCAGAGATTTTCAATTGGTACCTATTGACTTTTTGGATTTGTCCAAAAAATTTACCTATAGAAAGTTTACACAATCGAAAATTTTCCTAAATAAGAGGGGGCTAAATTTTCATTATTCTAGACTTACTAATCTAGAACGTATATTCAGTCAACACCTATACAAGGTGTATATTTTAAGTGATATAGTCCAACAAATACCATTTTAAAGTCACGTGATTTTTCTCTATCCTTGTTGAATACATCTCAAACAGCGGTGATAGTAAAATTGACAAAAAAATTGCTGTCTAATTATTGTTCATAATATTCTTACCTGAAATAGAATCCGTCACTGTCATCAATTAGTTTGTCAAAGTTATTTTCTAAAATAATACAACGAACAAACACAGCTAATAATTTTGACTTATATTAACCTTTTTCCAACTCGAAAAGAAGCAAATAGAAAACGGGTACCCAGTTTAAGTTCAGAATTTATTACAACAGACAGCAGATGCGACAAAAGTGAGTCTCGCAACAATTGCAAGTATTAAAATGGCCCTCTGATTGGTCAATACTACTTCAGAAACGCGTTTGTAAAATGCTAGTGGGAACATATATTAAAATTCAATAGTAATTAACCACCAGTAGCTTTTTGTAGGTGATATCAACGACATAATCAATGGACATACGTTTTTTGCCACTAGTATCACGTGACTTTAAAATGGTATTTGTCGGACTATACCACCATTGCTATATCCGAAACGGTAAGGGCCGGTATTCTCGTTCTCGAAAACGCTCACCGCTTTTCAGTCACTCGGCACTTTCAATGTAAATTTGCATTTAAAGTGCCGAGCGACTAGAAAGCGGTGAGCGTTTTTGAGAACCAGAATACCGGCCAAGAGCTGCAATGTCGGTTAAATTAGAAAAAAGTTGCCTTTTTTGCTGCCCATTCCAGAATTGTTTACAATGTTGTCAAATTCTTTTTAGTTTATGAAATACAGGGTGATTTCTAAAAAAACGAGCGAAATTATTTCCTTAATTATTTTAAAAACTATTGATATTGGAGACAATTCGAATTTGAAAGTTTTATTATTTCTTTCGCTCTACAACATGGCATCTTCAAATTTTAAATCCGACGTTTCGTGATCGAGCTACCATCATCAACTTTATTTTTTTAAATACGGACCTGGATTTTTTATGTCATTTTTAGAAAGTGCTCTTTAAGGCCGAAACCCACTAGCAACACGCCACGCCACCCCACGCCATGTGACACAGGTTCACGTGGGACAGTTTGTGTGCAAATGGACAGATGGCGTGGCGTGCCATGGCGTGGTATCGCGTATGGCAAGTGTGTACGCAGCACATATAAATAAATGGAAGAATATACGCATACATTTACGTCACATGGCGTGGCGTGGCGAAGCATGACGTGGCGTGTTGCTAGTGGGTTTCAGCCTTTATTCTCTTTCTAAAAATGACATAAAATCCAGGTCCGTATTTAAAAAAATAAAGTTGATGATGGTAGCTCGATCGCGAAACGTCGGATTTGAAATTTGAAGATGCCATGTTGTAGAGTAGAGCAAAAAAAATTATAAAACTGTCAAATTTAAATTTTGTCTCGAATATCAATAGTTTTCGGAATATTTGATGAAATAGTTTTGGGCGTTTTTTAGAAATCACCCTGTATTTCATGAACTAAGAGGAATTTGGGAATCAAAAAAGGCAACTTTTTTCTAATTTAACCGACCTTGTAGCTCTTACCGTTTCGGATATAGCAATAGTGGTATCGCTTAAACTATACACCCTGTATAAGTAATTTATGTACAGAAATTTTTATAAATAAATTGAGGGGTATAATAGGTGAGTCTACCAAAACTAGAATAATAACAACCGAAATAAATTATATAAAACCGTGCATAACTGGTGGCCTCTTAAGATTAATTCAACATAGAAATCAACTCAAAAAGGAAAGTTCAATAAATAAGCATAACTTGAATCTTTTAAACAAATATAGGGAGTATAGAAAAATCTTGACAAAAACTATTAAGCATACAAAATATGCATATTATAAAGATCTTGCCCAAAAGAGTTTAAAAGATCCGAAAAGCCTTTGGAAGGTTATAAAGGAGGCCACCAACGATCAAACGGCAAAAATCGAAATAAAAAAAATTAATAATGGTGAAAATATGGAAATATCTGATAAGAAATTGATTGCAAACGAGTTTAATACATTTTCAAATAACATAGAGAATAAGCTGACAGAAAATATTAAAAAAAGAGATAATCCAATGAATTCATGGGGTGCATCAGGTAAAATAATTAACTCCCATCTCAGAAACTCAGCTCAAAATACAAATACAAAGTCTCAAAAACAGTGTCAGGGGCGGGGAAGATTGTATATGCTCTAACCTTATTAAAAAAATACAGTTCTAATTTATTGAAGCCTCTGCGGCATATTGTGAATGTGGTCTTTGGTACTGGAACTTTTCCTCAAATATTAAAAACTAGCATAATACCAGTGTATAAGCAGGGAGATAAAAAATGCACAAATAATTACTGACCAACTTGTCAATGAAATTGGCAATTTCATTGACCACCTCTATCAGTAAAATAATTGAAAAATTTTTGAAATTTAAACTAAATTTGTATACATATTAAGAAATATAATTTACTAAGTGAAAATCAGTTTGGATTCAGGGAGGATTGCAGTACTGAGCATGCGCTTTGTAGAGTGACCGAAAAGATTTTGTATGATCTGGATAGGGGTAGAAAAGTTATTGGGATTTTTTTGGATTTGCAGAAGGCTTTCGATACTGTGGCACACCCGATCCTACTCAAGCGCCTAGAGAACATTGGTGTTAGAGGAATTCCAAACAAATTAATAGAATCATATCTGAGCAAAATAATACAAGATGTCAAAATATCTGAGGAACAAAGTGAACGGCTGGAAGTAGGGATGGGATTGCCACAGGGAACAGTCCTTTCAGCACTGCTGTTTAATATTTATATTAATGAAATTCTAACGATAACTGATGAGGGGGAGACGTACTGTTTTGCTGATGATACAGGGATAATAATTTATGGAGATGACTGGAAAAGTACACAAAATAATGCAGGAATAGCAATGCAAAAAATTAAAAATTGGCTTGATAATAGCCTACTTACTTTAAATGTACAAAAAACCAAATTTATTGCATTCTCTTTGTCAATTGGATCCTTGCCAGATTTTCAAAGTTTCAAGTTACATAAGGTTCAATGCAGGTTAGATTCTCAGTGTGAATGTAGTGACTTGATAGAAAGAACAACATGTTTAAAATACTTGGGAGTTCTAATTAATGAAACATTTACTTGGAAAGAGCATATACAATATGTAACAAATAAAGTGAGAAAACTTGTGTACAAATTTTATGAGATGCGCAACATGTTTTCCTTAGGAACATTGAAAATGATCTATTTTGCACTCATAGAATCAGTTATAAATTATGGTATTGTGGTTTGGGGTGGTGCAGGGACAGTGATTTTGAGCAAGCTGCAAATAGCATAAAAGTGGATAATAAAAATAATGCTTTTTAAGAACAAACGATATGCTTCAGAATTAGTTTATAAATATAGTCATTTACTTACACCAAATCAATTATACATCAAATCAATTGTATGCTTTATGCTAAAATCAGATTACTATAAAGAGCAGATTGTGCATGGAATGAATACAAGAAATGAAATGCAAAACAATGTTGTATTACAAAACCCAAAACACGCAGCCAAAATCACATTTACTGTGTTGGACCAATTTGGACACTTTCTTATGGAAACACCCTTTATTTTTTGAGATAGAAAAAAATGAACCCCCCACTCTGAGGCTCAAATTTCATGAAATTTTGATTGGTGCAAACCGCATTTTGATATCTTCAACCGTTTAGCCGCTGGAGGGCGATTCTCGATTTTGAGCAATACTGTGAAACCTTCATAACTTTTTTATTTATGAAAATAATTCATTTCTGTAAAGACTTTCTGGAAGCACTTTTTTAAGTGGAATTCAGTGACGTTCACAGCTTCTTTCTATTTGGCTCCGATTCCGAGATATTGACTAAAATCCGATTTTTTTCAATAGGACATCCTATATATTAATAGCTCATTGAAAAGCTTTGCTTTTGCTGATTTCAATTATATAAAATTCGATAGGTTTATCTGCAACGGTTTCCGAGAAAAAAATTATTTTGATTTTTGTCATAAGACACAATGTGTTGGAAAAGGACTTTATATCTGTAAGGAAAACGAGAAAGGTCTCTTTCTAACACATTGTTTCTTATGACAAAGACAGAAATTATTTTTTTTCTCAAAAACTGTTAG